CTGTGCTACTACAGAGTCTCTGTCCTCTATCCTGTGCTACTACAGAGCCTCTGCCCTCTATCCTGTGCTACTACAGAGTCTCTGCCCTCTATCCTGTGCTACTACAGAGTCTCTGCCCTCTATCCTGTGCTACTACAGAGTCGTCTTTAGAAGCTGCAGTCAAGGTCTAACTTCCTGGGATGAGAGGAACTCTTTATGAGTATACACATAACTTTCTGGCCCTAACAGATAATGAAAGCCGTGCCCTTCATTTCTGTTTCCATTTGTATGGCAGCATTACCTTTGGTGGTATGTGTTTTTGTCCTTTATGTGAGTAGCATCACCTTGATTTATAAAAATCATACTTACTATTTAATTTTTGAAGTAATTAGAACTAATTAGAGCTCAACATGTAACAAGTGTTGTATATAATATTGGTCTATATGAGAGTGAGTTCAGTATGTTGAGAGGGCCTAACAGAACCTATAAAATCAAATCCTTTCATAGACTTCTGTGGCTGCTGTTGTCTGACAGAGTGCACCAGCCCCTTTGTCTCCCAAACGCTGGGGTTAATGGTGTGAACCACTGTGCCCAGCTTGCTCGGGATATATACGTGTGTGAGAGGTTTTTGTTTTTTGCTTTGAGACAGGTTCTCACTTACATTGCCTTACATAGCCTACAACTCTCTGTGGAGATCAGGCTAGACTTGAACTCACAGAGATGTGCCCCCCACGTGCTGGGATAAAAGACACGCATCACACACCTGCCATGGTTTTCTGAGACGGGCTCATTCTGGCACACAGCTGCATAGATCTCGATGCATAATAACAGTTTGGGGAGTGTTTTGCTTACCTCGTGGTGTTAGCTAATCAGCAAGTAAACATGTATGAACAGCCAATTACATATAGCCATGAATCTGCATTTATTTATTTGCAGAAAGAAAAAAGGTAAAATTTGCTTTTACTAAGAAGATGTGAAGATAGGTGAGTTGGTAAAGTGCTTACAGTTCAAGCGTGAGGACCCAAGTTCGAGTCCAGAACCTATGTGCAAAGCTAGGCGTGTGGCACTTATGTCTGACGCCAGTTCTGAGAGGAGACAGACAGGCAAATCTGTGTGGCCCACAGGCCACCAGTGCAGCCTACTTGGGAGCCCCAGACCAGCAAAAGACTCAAAAACAAGGTGGAAGACGCTGGGGGAATGACCGCTAGGTTGACCCCTACCTTCTGTGTGCACACACTAACTTATATAACCACACATGGACTATACATTTAGGTTGGGGTTACAGTCTTTGTCTTTATTAGGATATTAGGTTTTTAACAAGCTTACACTTTTTTTTTTTAATGTCATTGATCTGTTTTGAAAACTGTCTTTTTAAATTTATAGTTACAGGGGCTGGGGTGGAGCCTCAGTTGAGTGTTTGGTTAGTGTGCGTGAAGGCCCAGAGTCAATCCCCAGCACATGTACCAGGTATGTTGGTACATGCCCGTAGTGCCAGCACTCAGGAGGTGAAAACAGGAGAATCAGTAGTTTAGGGCCACTCTAGGCTCTGTAAGACCCTGTCTTCTCAAGTAAATTTAAGTGCGGACAGGTGGGAAATAGGTTGTATTATTTTTATGTAGTAGAGTATGCCTCTGAAAAATGTATTTGAATTTAGTCCTCAAGTCCTCACCCAAACATAATATAGTCAAAAATCTAAGAACATATGTCGGTATGTATTTCTGGAATCAGAAATCTTATCTACATACGCCTATTGTCCAAGAGTCTTGGACTGCTGAGGCAAGATCACATGAGGGGCAGAGTTAGACACCAGAGTGGTCACACTCTGTTTCTTTACAAAAGAAAGAAAAAGTCAGGACTGGAGAAATGACTCAGCAGGTAAGAGCACTCACTGCTTTATCAGAGGACTGGAGTTGGGATCTTAGCACCCATGTTCCAGAAGCTCACACACACCTGTGTGTCCAGCTCCATGAGACCCACGGGCACCTGCTCATACATATATCAAACCTGTATAACAACTGTCAGTTCTTTTAACCTTGTCTTGCCTTTCACTTGTGTGTGTGTCCCACTTTGTAGCCCAGGCTAGCCTCATACCTACCTTACCAGCCCTGCCTTAGCTTCCCAAGCTCTGAGATTACAGAAATGTATAACCACAACTGACTTCCTTTCTTCGTGTTTCCCAATCTCTTGAGTCTCCAAATTAACTTTCCACTTTGATGGTCATTGCTGGTCAGCAGGGACAGGGAGAGCACTGTGTCATTCACCTGTTCTGTCACAGTCACTGGCCAGAACTTTGTGGTGGCCATACCTAGCACGGCAAAAAACATGGAGTCTTTCCTTAAGGCATTGGTGTGTCAGCTCGGAATATGGAGGAAGCTGATTTCTGAAGAGAAAGTGCAGGCATTAAAGCCCCTTGTTTTTGTCGTGTGTCCTTATGTCCACAGTGTCACAGTATGTCAGCTCACGTGCTCATTCCTTACAGTATTTTTTCCTTTGGTCCAGGGTTACAAGTACAGATTATTACTTCCTAAGTGATGGTCTGTTTGTACCTGAAGATCAGCTAGAGAACCAAAAGCCCTTGCAGTTAGATGTGATGATGGTAGAACCTTACAAACTCTATAGCAATCAAGATGACAGTGACTCTGCGTCATCTACAAAGAAGCCAAAGATGGCACCGGGAGGTGGAGAGAGCACTGCCGCGGCTGATGGGGATTCTTGCTCAGAAGAACATCGAGGGGACGAAGTGACACCAAGAAGTGACCATGCTTGCCCAGAGCCATCCACATCCTGCTCATGTTCTGGAAGTGAGCAGAGCCAGAGTGCAGCCAGCGCTGGGGAAACCCTAGACATACTGAAGACGGGAGACGCGTTTGTTTTAGATATTGACTTGGATTTTTTTTCTGTCAAAAATCCCTTCAAAGAAATGTTCACTCAGGTAAATATGGTAGCTTGAAAACATAGACCTTGACAATGGCATGGCACATCTCTGGATTACAGATAGCAAGCTTTCTGCAAACAGCCAGATGATAATTATTTTAGGTTCAAAGGCTGTGTTTTCTGCCGCATATTCTTCTGTTATTTCCCAATTTTTGAAAATTATATACAAGTTAATCATCCCTAGTTAAAAATTCCAAAATCTAAACTACTTCAAAATCCAGAACTTTCTATGAACCATGATAAAGAACACCTGTAAAGTCCCCAGATGTTCTAAAATCTGAAAGACTCTGGAATTTGATAGGACTTCTACTTCCAAGCATCTCAGATAAAGATATCAAACTTGCATTATATTTTATAATTTACTAGCTATATTTTTTGTTTCTTATTACACAGATGTATTTATGTTTAGGGGTAGCACATGCTACATGTGGAGGTCAGAAGACAACTTTTCAAAGTCGGTTTCAAAATTATCAGGCTTGATGGCAGTCACCTATACCCTCTGACCCATCTCACTGGCCTAGCTTTATTTTTAATATAAACAAAGATAACAGGACAAGACATAATGGCATATACTTGTAACACCAACCACTTAGATAAAAGAGATATAGTAGATATAGGAGATCATGGGTTCAAATCCAGCCTGTGCTACATGAAACCCTGTCTCAAAAAAAAAATGACGATAGGTAATTCCAATTTCTTGCAGCTATTGCTTAGCAACTGTGTCATCCTGGGAAAGGTACTTTCCTTTCTGACCAATGCCTTAAGGAAAGACTCCATGTTTCTTGCCGTGCTAGGTATGGCCGCTACAAAGTTCTGGCCAGTGACTGTGACAGAATAGGTGAATGGCACAGTCTTCTCCCTGTCCCTACTGACCAGCTGTGACCATCAAAGTGGAAAGTTACTTTGAAGTGCAGCATAAGCAGTCACTCACGGCCTGGTAATTGTGTACCTCAGTACTAGAGGACTTGCCTACCTTGTTCAGGGTCGTGGGTTCAGTCTCCAGTGCTACAAAGAAAGGGCTTAAATAAACCCCCAGCTCATAGAATTGTTGCAGTCAGCAAATCCCGGAACACAGTGCTACAGCGTGGTACCTCCTGCATTTTAGCTCTTACCTAGCACCAGTCCTGAATCAAACAGTTGAGGCCACATGCAGCCACCTACACATGGAGCTGACTTGCTAAGTCTTAAGAAGGAGTTTTGTTTATTGCTTTCACTTACTTACAAAACCTAGATGTCTCAGGGTCTGTGTGCCGTTTTGCAGGCCAGCATGGCTCTGTACTCCAGAGGTCTCTCTGTTGCTAGGAAAGGAGCCCCACAGCACACATGGGAGTCTTCTGTCATTGTCATTGAAGACATGTATGTCTCCCATAAGCAGCTAAAGTCTGTTAAGATCATGGGGTATATCCATTCACATAATGGTAATGGTATTGGAAATACTTTCATGACCTATTAGCCTATTAGCTAATTTTTGTACTGTATTATGCCCAGCTGGATAAACTTGTCCTGATAAATTAGGTCTGCTTTGGAAATCTAAAGTATACAGTATGCCTGTTTATAATACAAAAATCAAGTATACGATTCTCTCTGACAAGCCTTTGGGTATTATCTAGACTGTTCCCCTTGGATCCCAGACATTGTTGGAAACGCCTAACCTTGGGGGGTTTTTTGTTTTGTCTTACAGGATGAGTTCAAAATTCTACAGGAGCTTTACCGGTTTAAAAAGCCGGATAGTAACCTTCCTGAGGTAAGCCCGGCACCTTATCCACCACTACATCCTGCTGCACTTCTGTTTTCAGAGAGTCTGTGTAGTTCTAGCTGCCCTCACATTTAGCCTCCTGGGTGCTGGGATTGCAAGTGTGGGCCACGGTGCCAGGCTTTAATTACATTTTGTAGCTTATTTAAATGTTCTCAACTATCCAGATTATGTGTGTGCGTATAGATAGTCATGCATACATGTGTGTGTATGTTGATGAATGCCCCCTTAGTAGATAGAAGATATTTCTAGCTTAGTGAACTAGATTTTCAGCATAATAGTATTTCTCTTGTTCTTTGTGAAGGAGTAACCGTAACCTCAGTTTTTCAATGTTTCTAAAGGAAGATTTGGTAGAGATTGTTGATTCTCGAACTCATCAGTTAGAAGATTTAGAAGCAGTTTTTGCTGATCTGTGTGACAGCGACAGTGAAGAAACTGTACGGGGCTGGGCTGCAAACCCTGGGTGAGACCCCTAAACTTTTCTTCCCAAATCATGAATTATCCACTCTAAATACATTTCCAAGTTTGCTGGATGAATTGCCCTTTAAAATTAGAGTTAAGGCTTAGGGAGACGGCTTACTCAGAGTACTTGCTGCATCACCGGGAGGGCCTGAGTTCAGATCCCAGGCATCTGTGTAAACAGCCAGGCTTTGTAAGACTGGAGAGTGGAGACAAGAGGATGCTTGTAGCTCTCTGGCCGGCCAGCCCTGCTGAACTGATGAACACAGGAGTCAGTGAAAGATCATTTCTCAAAAAGTAACTAAAGGAGACAGGCAGTCTTGACCCCTGGCCTCCAGCCTTTATTGAGTAGTATTTCTGTGCTCTCTGTCAAAGGATTTAGAGGTAGAGACAGGAAGCTTGGGAGTTGAATATCATCTGTATATTGAGTTACAAGCTAACCCAGGCACAGTCACAATCAGATCAAAGCAAAACCAAACTCCTAACACTGCAAATAATTCAATGTCCAATAATCTGGGATTCACTCACAATCTTCTGGGCTCCTCCAAGGGGCTTGGATCACTTCCCCAGCTCTCCCCAGCAGCACACAGTTTGCCTTCTAGGCTCCAGCTGGCTCCACTCCACTGCTGCTGCTGTTCTTGGTGGTCATCCCATGGCACTAGCATCCCCAAAGCTGATGGGGTTCCTTGCTGCAACTGAGCTCTGCTTTCACTAGTAGCCTCTCGGGCTCCCTTCAGGGACTCCAGCCCTGCCACGCAGTGCCAAGTCTCAGATGCTCTCCATGACCCCTTCAACACCTTCAGAACCAGCACCACCTGGGTGACTCTAGCACTACCAAGTTCAGCTGTCAGCACAAGATACAACCTTGGCCATGTCTGGAACACAGTTTCTGTGTGCTGGCTCTTGGGAAACACTTTCTAGAAGATTTCACCTCAGTGATGCTGGTCTCTCCTTAATCACTACTCATTTCTCAGTGAGCTAACCAGCTGCAATTGTCCCAGTAAAACAAAGGTTTTACGTTAGTGTTCCTGGTCTCTTATTAATCACAGCCGATTCTTCAGCTTCTGCTGACCAGACACCACAGACTCCTCACACAAATGCACAGTGGAGTCTTTGCTTCCCTCTGAAACTTCACCCACCAGACCTTCGCCATCTGCAGTGTCCTCAACATTCTTATTTTCCAAGCCAACAGAACATCACACTGAGTGTTCAGTGGCTTTTCTAGCCCAAAGTTCCCAAGTCCTTCCAAGAACAGCATGGTCAGGTCTGTCCCAGAATCCCCACTATGCTGAAACTAACTTGTCTTAGGTGACTACTGCTGTGAGGGAAACAAACCAAACATAACCAAAGCACACTGGAGAGAAAAGGGTTTGTTGAGCTTAGACCTCCACATCACATCAAAGGAAGTCAGGACAGGAACTCAGGCAGGGCAGGAGCCTGGAGGCAGGAGCTGATGCAGCGGCCATGGAGGGATGCTGCTTACTGGCTTGCTCCCTAGTGCTTGCTCAGCCTGCTTTCTTCTAGAACCCAGGACCACCAACCCAGAGATGGCACCACCCACAATGGGCTTGGCCTTCCCTGTCAATCACTAATTAAGACAATGTCCTGCAGGCTTGCTTACAGACTGATCTTATGGAGACATTTTCTCTATTGAGTTTCTCTCCTCTTAGATGACGTTAGCTTGTGGCAAGTTGACATAAAACTATGCAGCACAACTCCTAACCCCAATCCATGGTAAAAGTTATATCTAGGATGCCATTTGATGCTAAGTCTCCTCAAGGTTATGGTATTTAATGTCTGGTGGCTCTTTTCCAGAATGGAATCACTAGTTCCACTCGTACAGAGTTTGAAAACACGGACAGAAGTACCTGACTATGAAATGGTAAATGTTTTATCATTGTAAAATGGATGCTTTATACAGACCCAGGTTCAGTTTCCAGTACACAGAAGACTGCTTACAACCTTCTGTAACTCAAGTTCCAGAGGAGCTGATACCCTCCCCTGACCTCTGTGGGCACTACACACATGTAGCGCACAGACATACATGCAGGCAAAACACCTATACATACAACATAAGAAATAAACAATGATAGATGCATGATACTCAGGGACTGAAAATTTAATGTTGATTTATAATCAAATGTGTGTTGAAGTAAGTATGCCTGTGGCATACTCCCCCATGTGTGGGTGTGCATGTGTGTGTGTGTGTGCACACTTGTGTGTGTGTGTGTGTGTGTGTGTGTGTGAGAGAGAGAGAGACAAAGTGGGGGGAGATGCGGGGGTGCAGATATAGTGGTCAGGCTCTATAGATGGCTCTCTCCTGCATTTATAGGGGTTCTTGAGATTGGACTCAGATCCTGGTTTTCTGCGGCAAGCATTTCACTGCTGAGCCGTCTCACTGTCCCACATCCTTTATTTTGAGATATGGTCTCTGACTGAATGTGACGCTCATTAGCTCACCTTGGTTCATGGGTCAATGAACTCCAGGATCTGTGTGTCTCCTCACTGCCCATTGTCTCTAGAGCCTTCTGAAATCAGTGACATCTTAGAGTGTCCTTTAGAAGTCTTGGTTTCAGTTTGGACCATGAACCCAGGGCTGTGCATGCTCAGCATACTGTCTACCACTGAGCCGCATCTCCAGCTGGTTGCATCATTTTACGCTTCCTTTATTGTCAGGTTCACCAGGCTGGGCTAACCTGTGATTACTCAGAACTTCCTCATCATATCAGCACAGAAGAAGAAATCGATAATCTTATTCAGTCTATGTATTTTCTATTGAAAAGTCTACCAAAGCCTACTCTTGTGACGATTGCAAGGTGAGTGTGTAGCCTGGATACCAGCCCATCAAAGATGTCTGTGCCCTGCTCCCTGGAACCTGTGGTTGGAGTGTCTCTGTAGCAGTAGGGACTTTGCAGTGTGATTAGTGTAAGGATTTTGAAATGAGATTATCCCAAATTACTTGACTAGAGTCAGTATTGTCACAGAACTCCCAGAAAGAGGAGCCAAAAAATACCAGAATCAGAGGAGATAAAATTTGGAAGATGCTATACTGCCGTCTTTGAAGGTGGAGAACAGGGCTATCAGTGAGGAAGGCAGGTAGCATCTAGATGCTAGGAAAGCTGAGAGAACAGACCTCTCCTATAGCTATATGTTTTAAACCCCACCTACCCCCCACCCTATACACACACACACACACACACACACACACACACACACACACACAGAAGAGACGACTGAGCAATGAAGAACATTTGCTACCCTTGGAGAGGACTGAGTTCTGTTCCAGCACCCAACATTGGATAGCTCACAACTACAACTCCAATTCTAGGGTATCCAGTGCTCTGTCCTAGACTCTGTGGACACCGGCACACAAGGCTGCAAACTCATACATAAAATACAAACACATAAAAATAAAACTTTAAGAAAAAAAATGTTTTTACCCTGAAACAAAACCCTTTCTCACCTACGAGGAGATTGTGAGCTTTAAAAAGCATGGGGAAGGTGCTCTGGTCGACAGCTGTAGGTGAAGTGCTTGCCACCGTGTCTGAGGACCTGACATCAGCCCTGGGAGCACATGCTTGTGATAGGCACTGAGAGGCAGAGGCAGGAGTGTCACAGGACGTTTGAGACCTGCCTGGTCTACACAGACCTGCCTGTCTCAGTACAGATACCAACCCCTAGTAATTGTACCTGTCCTATAGAATAACGTTTTAAGAAACAATAAAGGACAATTCTTGTAAAGTGGGGTAAGCGTCTCCCGCCCTCAGCCATGACTCTACAGTGTGGCCCTCACTGACAGCAGTGCAATGGCTGTTCCTCTGCACAGACAATGTTATCTCGCTCTGTTGTCTCCTTTTTCTCTTGGCTCCAGGTCAAGTCTGGATGATTACTGTCCTCCTGAACAAGTTGGCATGATTCAGGAAAAGGTCCTCGATGTGCTGCACTCTCTCTACGGGACCCTGGACACTCGTCTGGTGTACTTAGAAGCGTCCCCTCAGAGTTGAGACTTTTTATTATATGAGATTTATTTATTTATTTATTTATTCATTCATTCATTCATTCATTCAGCTGATATTTATTTAGCACTGTCATGTGTCAAGCACTATTAAAGACAAGATGTCCTGCCCTCCTGCAAGAGACTTGAGAGGCAAATAATGGCCTGCGAACAGTCTCAAGAAAACAAGGGAGAGCCACAGCTGTGTCTGGCCTACTGTCAGTTCTCAAGGCGCCCTGGCCTTATAAGAAAGTAACATTCTCAATAGTCATGTAGAAAGAGCTTTGCCCGTCCATGACAACATCTGCAGCAAGTCTGCGGGTCTAAAGTTGTTGGAATTGCGCCCACACTTTTGCTAAATGTTCTCCAGACTTGTTTTGTTTGAGTAAGCCTAATCAAACAAAATTGTAGGCTTTGAGGTCTTTGTTTTGTTTTTGGTTTAGTTTGTAGTTTTGGTTTTAGTTTGGTTTAGTTTTTGTTTAGTTTTTGTAGGCCAGCCTCTACAAAGTGAGTTCCAGGACAGCCAGGACTACACAGAGAAACCCTGTCTCGAAAAACAAACAAACAAACAGAAAAAATCAAGGTCAATAAATTTTTCTGATGAACCAACTTTTTAAGGAAAAGAAATAAGACAATTACATCTTTGTGACCTGATGTAAATACCCAAGGATAGCTGCCTTCCAGCCTTCTCGAAGTGTGACTGAGCACAGTGGGTCCACCCTTAGGTGAATGCAAAGAGACAACTAAGAAGAGTGAAGAACAGTTTATTGTTTGAAGCTGGGAGAATAGCACTAGGAATATTTATAATATGTGAAGAACAGAAGGGAGGACTTGTGAAAGTTTTTACTGGAAAGGAGAGAATATTTTCTGCTACTTGCATTAGAGATTGTGCTTCATATATTTAATGAGCCAAGTTTGCCCTTAGTGACCAGGAAGAGTGTCCGCAGATGCCACTGTTTATCCCCGGAGTTCCCACCCCGCCAGCTGTGATAGGACTATCTTTATCATGGAAGTTAGTTTCTCTGTGCGCCTTTTCTCTGCACTTTGGTTCACTTTTGTTCAGTAATTACTTCCTAACTGCTTGATTTCTTTAAAGGGTAAGATGATGTGTAAAGGATAAAAAAAAAAAAAAAAAAACATCCATCACTCCTGCATGAGCACAACAGCCCTCGCCTGCACGTGTGCCTGGAGGGTCGAGTAGCCAAGATCAGAGCTCGCTTCGACTGGTACTCCAGGATGTGTTACCCTTGTGATGTGTTACCCTTGTGATGCGGAACATGGAAACATACTCCATTCTTAACACTAGTTATGTTTTCCTCTGGTGAATTCTCTTGACACTGAGGAGATCTACAAAATCTAATACTGTGAAAGCTTGTTTGTATTGTGTAAACAAAACCAACTGATTTACCTGTCCAGTCTGATACCCAAAAGGTTTGTGTTCTTACAAACGTAGAATTGTAAAACTGTTAAGTTCTGAAAGTTTCCTGTAAATAGACATTTCTATGAATAAATTATTCTATGTGCAAAATGAAATTAAATGATGTGTTTGGAAGTTTTAAGGCTTTCAGGTCAAACTATAGAACTAATTTTGTGTCAGTGTGTGGACTTCATGGAGCTTTAGCTGTATTTTTGTTTTGATGTTTTATTTTTGGAGGGGTTTATTTCAACTCCAGTGGATTCTGATGTGATTCATCATTTTTTAACCTGGAGTGGATAAAAGTGTATCAGTTATCTAGGTATGCAGTACACACCTGTAATCTCAATACCCAAGCTAATGAATGAAGATTCCTATGAGTTCAAGGCCAGCCTAGGCTACATAGTTAATCTTATTTCAATAAAAAGAACAAAAATTCCATTTCCTTTATAGAAATCCTAGGGTTTGAGGTATCACACACACACACACATACACACACACTTACTGAATAAAGCCCAGTTAGTAAAATATGAATCTGCATGTTCCAAACAGGAAGATAACTAGCTAACTCATCTTTCATCTGTGTTCCAAATGCAATTAGGGAATACATAAACAAATAGTATGGCAGGTCACCCACTGAACCATGTCAGCCCCTGAATCCTGGTTTTTGGAATAATATTGAAGTCTCACAGAAGCTCTGTGAATAAAGATTTTTAAGACTAGAGATCTTTATTCAAAAATGTAGGTGTTCTCCTGTAAGGAAAGAAGTGAATAGGGATTTACATAGTTACTCATAATTTAGAACTTTTTTAATTACTTAAGTATCTATTGACTAACATTTTTAAAATTTTTTTATTACTTTAGTGTTTTGCATGTATATATGTGTACCACATGCCTTGAATGCCCATGGAAGCCAGAGAAGGTGTCCAAGCCTCTGGACTTGGAGCTGTAGGCAGTTGTGAGCTTCCCTGTGGGTTCTCAGAATTAAACCTGGGTCCTATGGAAGAGCCGCCAGTACTCCTAACTGCTGAGCTATCTTTTCAACTCCCTAACATTTTAATTTTTACATACAACATATTTTGTATATAACTCCTCCCCGATCCCCCTACCTACTCCTTGTTCTCTCTCTTAAAAAAAAAAAAAAAAGGAAAAAAGAAAAGTCAAAAAAATACCAAAAGTCATACACAAAAAATACAGAGTCTATTTTGTGTAAGCCAACTGCCCCTTTGATGATCCTTTCCAGTAGAGTAGTTGACACACCCAGTGACACTCCACTGGAGAAAACTGATTGCCCTTTTCCCAGAAAATACCAACTATAGATAGCTTTTTGGTAACAGGTAGGGCTTTGTTTCTATTTTCTCTTCTCAGTGCAGGGATTTTTGTCTGCTTTTAACCTTTGCGGGTCTTGTGTGTGTGTGCTGCCACAGTCTCTGTAGTTCACGTGTGATCAGTCGTCTTTCTTTGGAGTCATCCACCACTCTTATCATCTTTCCACCTCTTCTTCCACGTAGATCTGTAACCTTGAGGGCAAGGGTTGATGGAGACATTCTGTTGAGGGCTGAGTGCACCAAAGTCTTTCACTCTGCACATTGCTCACTTGTGGGTTTCCTTCTGTATTACTACTTACTGCACAAAGAAGCTTCTCTGATGAGGGTTGGACAATACTCTGATCTATGAGTATAGCAGTGTGTCATTGGGAGCCATTTTATTGCTCCATTCCCTGAACAGAATTCTAGTAGGTTTTCCCCTAGGCCTATGACCAATTTAGTCCCAGGTATTTTGCCACTTGAGCAGTGCCAGTCATGACCAACTGTACCTTAAGGAAGCTGTTGCTCAGAGCTGTATTCCTTAAGAGAGAGAGGTGATTTGGGGCTGCCTCAAATCGCAATATAACACTCACTATGTGGGGAAAAAATGAAATTCTAACAAAAAAGGAAATTCTCAATATAAAAATTTTAGGTGCCGCATAACAAAGCATTTTAAGCTTCTAATGGTTTATTTGCTTTTGAGTATTAATAGACTAGTAACTTGACTCTTATCTGGTATCATGCTGAGACAGGCAACACAGCGCCTTAGAAAGATTCCCAGATGAATAGCATGTAGTCATAAAGTGTCAGCAAATAGGATGTGATAATTCAAAGCCAGATACCCAAAAATTAAACTTTAGTGTAACCTACACAAATAGAACTTCATGAGGCTATTAGATAACACAAATGAAGATGTGACTATAGAAAGATATGTTGTACTGATATAAACACTGTTTTGGGTAGCCACACATTAGCATGTGTCTGTAATCCCAACTGTTGAAAAGTAGAGACAGGCAAAAACACCATGTATTTGAAATAGATAGATAGATAGATAGATGGATGGATGGATGGATGGATGGATGGATGGATGGATGGATGGATAGATAGATAGATAGATAGATAGATAGATAGATAGATAGATAGATAGAGATATATTGAGATAGATAGATAGATAGATAGATAGATAGATAGATAGATAGATAGATAGATAGATAGATATCTGGAGGCTAGCCAGAATTATATAACAAGGCTCTGCATCAAAAACTAAAAAGGCAGCTAATAACTGAGGGGCAAAGACAAAAATTGCAGACCACTGGACCTCCTCTACTCGTTGCTCTAGTTCTGATCTGCTATTCCAGGGATCTCAGGTAGGTGTCTGCTTCCCTCCTGAGAAAGTCAGAAGCCTCTTTAAACAGCCACAACAATTCCCCTCTACAAGTGACCAGAGTCGTCCCAGACCAATATTGCCTCCCAGGCATTGACAGCAGCCAGGTTTGTTGATATGGCTAGATCGGAGGCTAACAACAGGGAATGGTGTCTGGCCCTTGATCACTGGCTTCCAGGCAGCCTTTTCTTAAGTAACAGTTCTTCTGTGCTATTCTGAGCTTTGCACTATCCAAGGCCATTGGGTTCTCGTGTTTGATGGTTGCCTTCATCATCTTCTTTTGCATCCTTTGCCATAAAAGGACGAAGTCCCATAAAACACTTGCTGCCTCCCTCCTTCCCTTTCTAGACTGTAACTATATTGCCCAGGTACTGGTGTTACAGATGTGAGTCACCACATACACCTTAGGACATTTTCATTTTAACTAGTGACACCAGTTTTAAACTTCTGATATAAAAGTGAACAAAGATGCATAATAAACAGATTGTATTCTGGATGTGTAATTATGTTAGTTAAAACGAGACAGTACAGATCAGCAAACGTGACCAGAATAAGATACAGAAATAGACCTGTATTGATTCTATAAAGTACATCTAGTTTAACAGAAAAATAACTCTCACACTAAATAAGAACTTTCATCAAATCTAAAATAGTCTCTGTTCGGTGGACTCCCCTCCAAAGCAAAGATTCCAGACTTTGGCTGTTTTGGTCTTCGGCTACCACCTTGAACATGTAGCTTCCAAGATTTTCCCTAAGTGTACCTCCCATTTCACCTCACAAGAAGACTGAAGATAGGCAAAGAGAACCTTTGTGAGGCTTGTATTATGCTCCTGTACTATCAGCTCCCAACTGCAAGAAAAGGTGTTATGGTGCACCTGCCTATAGTGTTAATACTCGGGAAGTTGAAACAAAGGATTGTTGAGTTCATTGGCCATCCTGGGCTATGTAGAAAGATCCCGTCTCAAAAAAAAAAAAAAGAAAGAAAGAAAAGAAAAAGAGAAAGTGAGAGGCTGGGGCTGGAGGGCTAGCTCAGCAGTTATGAGCACTGGTTGCTCTTCTTGAGGACTTGCGTTTGATTCCCAGCATTCACATGGTGGTTCACAGCCACCTGTAGCTCAGGTTCATGGGATCCATGATGTCTTGGCCTCCACAGGCACTAGACACACGTGGTACACATACATACAGGCAAAATACACATATACATAAAAGACAATAACAAGATAATTTAAAAACGGGGGGGGCATGCTCATAAATTGGAAGACTTAGTATCATGGAAATGGCTAGCCTACCAATCTACAGATTAAATGTCATCTCATCAAAATTTCAATGTCATTCTTCACACAAAGAGGGGAAATAAATCTTTAAAATTAATTCAAAAGGCCAGGAAGAAGGATCAGCTGCTGTTTTCCACCAGGCCTGATAACTTGAGTTCAATCCCAGTAGAAAAAGAACAATACTGCAAGTATCACCATATCTGTTTCCAAGTTATACTCCTGAGCCATAGTAACAAATACAGTATATTATGGCACAAAGCAACGGGTCCATCAGTGAATTAGGATAGAGAGTACAAATATAAACCCACACAGGTACGGCCACCTAATTTTTGACACAGATGCCAGAAGTATATGAAAGAAAACCAGCCTCTTCAACAAATGGTGCTAGCAAAACTGGATATTCACACATAGAATGAAAGTAGATGACCTAGAAAAAAAAAAAAAAAAGAATCAGCTCCAAATGGAACAAAGACCTTAACAGAACACATGAAACTATTAGAGGATAAACTATAGAAACACTTCAAGATATTAGCATAGGCTAGGACTTACTTAAATAGGGCTCCAGTCGGCCAGGAAATAATGCTAACAATTGACAAATGGTATCTCATGAAACCAGATAGCTAGAGGGAAAAAAAAGCTGTTCTGGCTATGCGTCTGACAGGATGTATAGCTAGAATATACAAGAACTCAACACACTAACAAGAAACCCAATAACCCAATCACAAACAAATGGTTCTCAAAAGATAAGTACAAATGACCAATTTACATATGAAAAACATGCTCAACGTCACTAGACATCAGAAAATGAAAGTTACACTACATTTCTTTTTTTAAATTCTCTAGTAAGGCGTAGATCACATAACATCCTATTTTCGGTTCAAGGGCACAGATGCAGAAAACTACAGAATATAACAGCCAAAAGGAGACCTAGAAGCAGTCTTCTCAACTCTGTTCTTTCCAGATGAAAAGATTGAGATCCAAGAAAACCAGGAATGGCTCAAGACCAAAGTCATTCGATAACAGATCTGACACTAACACCTGAGTCTCCAGAAACCCTCTCCAGAGCTCTGTGATGTTGTCTTGCCTGTTTAAAAGAAATCTCCCAAGCTGAGTGTTGTGCTGCCTGCCCATTCAGTCAGCACCGAGGAGGGGGACTGATGAGTTTGAGGCTTCCTGTCTCACAAGGCCCTGTCTCATGGGGAAGGAG